GTTATTTTGAGCAACACTTCAATTTAAAGCAGCATCTTTGCCCCTCTTGCGATAGTATGCTTATTTATTACACTAATAATTCATTTGATTAACTTTCAGCCGAAAGACAGGGACAAGAAACACAGGAGGCTAAACGCCCCATTAGCCTTTCTAAACCGTGGCCAGCCTACATACTCCTCTCGCTTGCACCCGTTTAAGCCCGAAAACAAAAACAAAACAAAAACGAATTGGCTGGACTTGGTAGTCGGCGCTTTCGACACTGTGTGTTTATTTATAGTTTCGAAACTGCAGGTTTATTTATAATGAACCTTTATTGATTTGATGTTCCACTTTAATTTGGCGACACTTCAACTGTACTTTTTGTTTTTTTTATGTAAGTAAAATAAAAATATGTAATGTGTACTTCGTTATAGTTACATACATATGTATTTGTATCTCAAAAATGTTCCGAAATGCTGGGAGATGTAAATCTATCTCCCGCGTGTATTATAAACATATAATTTTGATCTGAGAGTGAGTAAGTATTTCTTAGCGTTGCAAACATTTGCGGAGCATCATAATACCCTCTCTGCCCTCTGCGAATATCGGAGCAATAGTATATCAGATGGTAGCGGCACGGGGTTGACGGGTAAGAGACACACGCTGACTACTGTGCTGGCGGAAGAGGAGAGCGGCTTCGGCCTGCTGCAGGCAGGAAAGGAAAGCTTTTTTGCTAGCTGTCTTTGGTCTTCGGTTTTAGTATTTTATTGAGCCATTATTAAGTTATAAACACGTTGCTTTTAATACAAATACAAGTGCACATGCACATAAATTGTGTTCGAGTGTGTTTTGTGGGGAAGTGGAGAAGCCAAGTGAAAGGTTTCCAACAAGGACTTTGCGGCTGTTGCCTTTTTTGCAGTTTCTTGGAAAAGCCAGCCACAAACTGTGATAAATAAATATTAGACCATGTTTAGTATTCTCTCTGCTCTGCTCTTTCCTTCTTCCTCTCCCTCTCTCTAACTGTATCTCTGGTGGGCGCAACTATTGTTGATGCTGGATCTTTCTTAATGGTCCATTCCAAATTGAGCTGTGTCAAGTGGGCGGGTGGCCACGCTTTGTGGGTGTGGCTGCCGTTGTTGCAGTGAGACTCGGATTTGCAGTTTTACTGGTGGGATTTACCATAGGCACATCAAAATGGAAACAATGACGAGAGAGGACTTTTTGGTAAAGGGCAATCCATTCGCTCTACATGTGAATAGAATAGCGGGGCGAAATTTGTAAATACACTTTTAACAGTTTGATATCAAATGAGTCTTCACACAAAATTTGGTAACTCTAGCTCTTATAGTCTCTGATATTCAGGCGCGAATCAAGACGGACGGACAGACGGACAGACAGACATAGACTCGTCTATTGATGCTGATCAAGAATAATACATACTTTATGGATTCGGAAACGGTTTCTTCTGTGCGTTACGCACATTGCTCCGACCACAGAACCAATATACCCTACTTACTCTTCGAGTATACTCGAAGGGGCACAAATATTTGGCCCACTGAATTAAAGAACTATAATTGTCCGTTAGCTGCAGGATAAACAACGCAAATTTATCACGAGAGAAACAGACAGTAAGCGCAACACACACACAAAAAAAGGTTGAGAAGTGAAATCGAAAAGTGCTCTGGGGAGGGGGAACAGGGTGCCTGGGTTAGTCTATAAATTACAGTTGCTAGTTAATTCTCTTCCTCTCCTTCTCACTCTCTCCCACACTCTTTGTGTTCATAATTTTCGCTCTCTCACGCCAAAAGGATGAGATGGTAACAGCGGGCTGCAGCAGCGGCGTGAGTTCCGCTCGTTATCGCTCTGACAATCGGCGGGGCAACTGGAGCCCAGAGCTTCTCAAACTAGGCTTATTCGGTGGCTTGTGCCCTAGCAGACTGGGGCATTCTGATTATGTCGGGGAGAACGTAGCTCCCGCAACAGCCATATATATCTAAATTGTTCGCAATTGTTCGTCTTTTTTTCGACGTTTTTACGCTCTTTTTCGATTGTTTTGATAAGCAATCTGCTCTAAATTCTTTTTGCCCCGACATTCTGTTGTTCTTGTTTTTTTCTAGCGCTTCCTTCGTTGATGCTTTGCGCTTGGGTAATTTATAGCTACGGATTTTTTATAAGTTCATGATATAATGTGTCTTGCTGCGAGGGTGGCCAGAGAAGTTTCGTCTTGGCTTGAGAAGTTACTAACTGCATCAATAATATAACTTGCGAGAGTTTTCATATTCTAAACTTAGAATCTAAAGAATGCTTTAGATAGGGTGTCTCCGCATATCTATAGTCTCTGAATTCGACACCTATCGTTTAAATACTTGCAAGCAATTGCAAGATGAGGGCCCTCACGGCATCGAGTGAGAAAAGAAAATACACCTTGAAAGTGCAAAAATATGTATTTACTTATGTATGTATGTACATACATATATTTAACCATATCTCCCCTCATCTCATTACTTGTCAATCTCACTGCGGCAATTGAAAGTTGAAGCTGCTGACTGCAGTGCTTATCAGCTTCCATTTAAACTCGCATTTAGGCCCATTGTACAATCTCCAAGCAGTCCTGAGAAAGAGATTTAGGCTCCTTGTCACGATGCTGCTCTTTTTGCTGTTCTCTCCTTGGCCTGGTCCGATCCGATCCTCTCCTCTCCTTTCCCTACTACGCTTTCTGTTAAAGCGCGGTGCCTCTTTTATCGTTGGCGTTCATCTGCCTCATTTATCATCATCGAAAATGTGAAGCGTGTTGAGAGTTTGGTTTCGTTTCGTTTCGGGTCTGCTTTTTGTTTGGACAGAGGCCAGACTATGGCTGTGACCCACATTCCCCCCGGAACCCCGCTCGACAAACCCGCTCCTTACTCTTCGATTTGGACTTCCTTGTGAGCTTTCTGTGTTGCTGTCTGTCGCTTTTCCGTTGATAAATATATGTTACACTTTTTTACAGTTATTGCCGAACCGCATGTGGTTTTGGCATTTCTCTTTGCTCATTGGCCTCTCTCTCTCTCTCACTCTCGATCTGCCCCTCTCTCTTGGTAACACTCTTTCGAAGAGGGAGTGCTGGCTGCTGCACTCTTCCTTTCGAAAAGTGCATTTGTTGCCCATTAATCGTTGTTTTTTTCTAATTAAATTGCGGTCATGTGGGTGTCTTGTTGTTGCTCTGTTGGCTGTCCGGGGTAATTATTCTACAAGCAGAATTATTGAAACGAAATTGAACTTTTACTTTACATACATACATACGTACATACCCACCCCCACACTCGTAAGCGAAAGATATATCCCGCTGACTTTTGACAGCAAAAATGATTCTCTTTCCGTCGCTGTTTCCATAAGTGGGCCAATTAGAGAGAGTGATAATTGCGCGAGATCGCTTATGTGGTCTCTATATGCTCTCTACTCGGTTTTTGACGCGTCGATTATTTCATCTTTGAAGGCAGATGGACTCGTCCCAAAATCCATTCCTCAACTTTTATTTTTATTTTTTATATATGTATAATGTACAGCCATTTGGAGAGAACCTCGTCCGTATTTCCATATTCCTCGGTGACACTTTCCCATGACCAAAACCATTTGATGGCCTCCTAAATCGCAGTCACGCTCTGAACCAATAAGAGGCAACCAAAAAATAAGCAGACTGCTCTAACAAACGCGGAGGAACCTCACCGAGAGAGTCGGAGCTCTTTGCAAATCCCTATTCCATTTCATCCCAGAGTTACAGTCACGACTTCCACAGACACAGAGTCAAGGTAATTTCCAGTTACATTTTTGCACTACCAACAAAGTGTGTTTTTCTCTCTGTCCATCTGTCCGGGTTTCTCATCACGTGTGCATATTTATTAGGACATCTAATTGTGTTTTCTATTTCCACAGCACTAAGGCACGAAGAGTCGTCGCAGTTTACCCAATGGTTTTCCCACACACAAAAATCTTTTACGGGTGGAAAATTGTGATGTGTTTTCCACTTCTACGCATTGTAAATAACTTTACATGCGTGTATCAACCGCACCCATTCTCTTTGACAAATCCTTGATACAAAATAGAACCTTGCAATTCTTGACCCTTTTTAAGAACCAATTTCTCTTCCCTTATGTGGTGAGGTGAGATCCCAGCAGTACATTTTCGATGAAAAGAGACCCCATCTGGATAAAGGGCAATCCTACCCGCTACTTGACAGCTTCTGGACGATTTTGTCCAAGATATAACACGACTCGGAGCAGACACCAAAAGAGTACGGTGAGGCATTGAACGAAAAGGAACTAGAAAACTGTTCTTGGCGGACTCTTCGCCAATGCGTCACCCTATGTTAACTTAAAGTGCACACACTTACACCTTCTCCTATGCACACGCAAGCGAGAAAAGCCTACATATTTTACACAAGCACTAACAGATCTTCATCTGTGCTTGACGCATTTGACGCATCTGCTCCGCCTGGGAGGATCCTCCTCCTTGCTCAATGAACTAAAAGTGCTGCTGCGCCTGCTATTGCGAACAGGGTGAGGCCTGGGCGAGGGAGAGGGCGACAGGGACGCAGGTCGCCTCAAATTACGGTTGATTGGGCCATTTGCGGAGCAAGTACAAACAAACCTCTCGGAACACTTGACGGACTTCCTGAGCCCGTTTCCTGCACCTGCAGAGAACCAACCAGAGAGGAGAGCTCCGCTCGTCTCTTCATCACTTCCTCCCCTTTTCAGTCTACTCTCATTTCGCTTATGACAAAAAGAGAGCAGAAGGAGCTTATTTTTTCGGCAAACATTATTATTTAGTCTTTACTCATATTTTGGCCGCTGCTGTTGTGACAGTCAAGTGTCTCCGGCTTGGCTCTCTTCTCTTTCGCTCTCTCTTTAGCTCAAGCGTCGTCTCCACTTAAGTGTACATCATGTTCCACTGTCGCTGGTTGATGTTGCCTGCCTTCTCCTTACGTGATTTATGAAGCCAAACCTTTAAAGTGTTGTATTTTCCTCATGTAAAAGTTTGTAAAGTTTGTACCCTTTCCAAACAGTTTTATAGCCCTAAACTAAAGAGGTTTTAAGTCCTGTACATTGAACAATTAGTTCAACAATACCTTTCATAGATTTCATAAATTCTTGATGCTCCATTTAGGCGTTGGCTTTACTATGTCTGTATGCTATGTATATGTATGTATATACTAATTCTGCGAACTCTGCTTAATTTTCATATGAATAAATAATCGTATCTTAGCGGAAAGGGTATCTGACGCCTCCATACTTCGGTCCATACTTTATTTTTATGCAGTATTCTCTCTTTTCCTTTTTGGTTGGCCATTTATCATGAGGCTTGTTGCAGTTTCGTTGTTGCTGTTGTGCCCTACCTACTTGTCCGCACTTCGTTGAGAACTTTTTACCTTTTACCCGTGCGCTAATTGTGCCTGCTGCAGGGGTGTTGGCTCATATCATAAATCTTCAAACACTTTCACATTCATTCAGTGCCTCATTTTCTCATACTCTCTCATTCTTTTCTCTCATCCCGTACTGTCCCATCAATCCATCCTTGTGCGCTCGCAGAGGCACGCACTCCCTGTCCTTTTCCTACGACAAACTCATTAGCTCGACGCGCCGCACTTAAAGTGTTTTTACCATCCTGTTGGTGTGGAATGCTCTGTGGGGGGCCCAAGAGGCAGAGGCCAGGTAGAATTTGGGGGAAACATACATTCATACATTTTGAATATGCGATATTTTTCGTTGTTTTCCGCATGACACACCACCCACCCACACGGGGAGCGTTGGATCTAAAGCCAGAGCCAAAGTGGAAGTGTTTCGGCTTGTTCCGGGTGTCCCCTGTGAGCAACAGTTGCCAACAGTTGTGGTCATGACACCGCCTGGCCTGCCAAGTGAAAGCAGGTTAAATGCAAACAAATTGTATGCCCAGGAGGGGGGCAAGGAGATCCAATTCGGAGCTTGCTTCAAATTGCTTTACACAACAAAGTTCCAGACTATTGTTTCTTTTTTTTTTCGTCTCGTTATGTTGTGTATTACCGGCTCTTTGATTTGATTACGCTTGATAACAATAATTATGCCAAAATGATGCTAAATGAGTTATGGTAAGAAAACACATATACACAAGGGATAAGGGGAATTTTTAAGGCCGAGGTATGGATCGTTTCCTGGCTGCGGATGTTGGAGCTTACGGATGTTTTTGTGCAAAATTCTAACATAGCCTTCAAGACGTTGAAAGTTTGGACTCACTCGGATGACTGGGTTCTCCTCACTTTCCTTCCTTTCTCTTCTATGCTCATTCCACCATCCACTTCGATCAGTTTACTCATTTAACAACTAACGGTTGCTTATCCACGAGCTCCCTCTTTAGTCTATGCAAATGCATCGTTGTGGAATATAGATTATTTTTGCGCACGCGTTAAGCCGATTTCCGCCTTGAGTCGTCCCACACTCGGCTGTGGGCATCAATCAAGCTTTGATTTTCTCATGTCAAATATTGCTAAACATAAATTCAAATAAAAAAAAATCTACTCGAAGATGATCAACTTTCTAGCAAGGCAACAAGATTGCCATTCAAATGAACTCGAACGTGATTTAAGCGATCCCCAAATGATCAAACGATCGTTGTATATATATCGTTGGAAATCTTATTCTGTACCCAACAAGAGTTCGAAGGTGTCTCTCTCTCTCTCTCGCCATACGAGCATCTGTATATATATATATATATATGTATGTATCTGGCTCTTCTGGCTTCATCTCTGCCTTTTTCCAGTGAGTTATCGCCGCGACACAATCACTTGTCATAAACATTAATTGAGCGTGAAAATCGCCAGAAAGTAATCATAATAAAGATGGATCGCCTTCAAACGCAATGCGATCGCTTGCATGAAATGGAAGAGAGCGAGTGGAAGTTTAGCAGTGGGTAAGCGTCCCGCTCCGAAGGGGGAGGCAGAGGTAGGGGCCTTTGGCACCCCGTTAAAAAAGCGAAATTGGGTCAGAATGTTGTCTGGTCTGGTCTGCTCTGCTCCATTCGTCTCTTGGCCAGCATCTCTTTCATCCTGTTGCTTTTTACTTTCAATTGTGACCTGCTTCGATCCAGCGATCGATCGATGCCTACTTCTTGATCATAATCGATGTTGCCAAAAAAATATATGTATATATGTACAATGTACGAGTATAGATGTATACTCCTTGAACTGGGTCACAATTTCTCTGCCATTAGTTTATTTCCTCCTTCAACTCGTATCCCTCTGAATCTTTCTGTTGGTGATGTCTATTTTTGAGTATTTCCTTTTAGAGAGTAGCTTCGACTTCGCCCACTCTCGGCCACATGTTGCATATGAAATGTATGCAAATCAGAGATGAAGAAGCTGAAGACAGACGGAGACCGAGACGGAGCTGCCAATAAGCCAAGCATAAATTACATTACTGAGATCCTTTCTGCCAGACATTTGCATATAACCTGACTGCGACTCTAACTTTGATTCCAGCTCCAACTGCAGCTCAGATTCGAACTCCATCTTCCAGTTCCTCTACGAAATGTCTTCATCTGGAGGTCGGTCTTCTCCACCGTCCCCTCCCCTTTTCTGTCTGACACAATTAGAGTCGCTTTTCTGCATTTTATGAAACAATTCAAAATTTTCTCAGGCTTCCGCTGAGAGAGCCAGCGGGTGATCTGGGGGTTCTGTGGCCATTAGGGGAGAAGTGCTCTCATTAGCAGAGACAGACACAAGGTATTTTTAGGATAGTTCATATTTTTGTGATTATTAGCCCGGCTAGGACTGTGGGAAATGCAAAAAAACAAAAACAAAATCAGAAGAAATATAAAGTGAAGTGTGGAAAAAATACTTTGGAATGTGTGTTGCAGTTTTTGATTTATGTACTTCTCACCCGGAACTTGGAAAAACTCCAGGGTTTTAAACATTACAAAATTATGACTCCATCATTTCTGATTAGCAATCAGTTCTGTACGGGCACCTCTCTCACCTTTCTCTCTTTGAGCAACTGGCCTTCCTTTTTTCGAGTGCATTCTTTCAGGATGCAACACCAGATCTAGCTACGATATAGAGAACCTGAGAAAGTACAATAATAAAAGTTGTCATATATTTCAATAAGTTCTCTTTTCTTGTGAAAATTATGAAACTTCGAAAAGGATGACATTCTGTTCCCTGGTAGAAGTTATAATTACCATGCCACATTGTATTCGTGATTTCTTGGAGTAAGGCTCTGAAAGCAAAGTTCTCAACATGTTCATCGAACCATGGCTCGTGCTTTGTCTCTCTCTCTCTCTCTCTCAAGCTGGTTAACCGGATTCGACACTCTCTGGCGGACCTTCTCTCTGCACTGACTTACCTGGCTGCTGCCTACACTTTGCGTCGCTGCGATCTTTGTGGCTGCTAAGCTACCATCTCATTCCGATGTGGCACTCCCGCGTGATCGGACGTTAGTGGTGCTGTTATTTTCCGTCTTCCATTTCACGTTTCCCTCCTGCTCTGCTTTCGCGTGTGTTTCTGTGAGAATCTCTTTTACGTGCGAAATATTTATGAAACGCGCTCGTGAACAATAAGAACTCATACTAGAAGCCGAATTCCTGAACTCCACTCTGCACACAAGTGCTCTAAATTCCTTAGATGAAATGGAAGTTGTATGAGAAAAACACGCACTCATATTTTGGCGTGAGTTGATTTTAGTTAATAGACAAAAAAATATCTGATTTATACAGCCGCGTGACAAAAGTTGTCCAATAATTTGAAACTAACAATAACTGGAACGGGAACGGGAAAGGGCCCATCTCACAGTGTCCCCACAACCACTTTGAGTTAGGGTTTGGGTTAGGTGAGAGCAGAGGAAGCAGAAGAAAGACTCAAAATTATGCCAGTGATGTAATGTAACCGTTAGGCCATGGCACACGACAAGGGCTGGAATGGGTGAAGAGCGGGGCCCAGGCACTCAGAAAGACAGTAACAAAAACACAGCAATAAAGCAATTAAAATGTCATTGAAGTGGTACGAGCCGACCGACACAAGTGCAAAGGGGAAATGGGTTATAAAAACGGATATGAAAGCACATACACACTCATAAATACATATGTAGATGTGACCGATTTCGAAAGATTTGTGGGAAGCGGATGGGAGAGGGGCCTGACCGACCCAGCAATTGCCTAAAAATTAGAGCTCATGAAAGAAAGGGACAAGGAAAAGGTGAGACGGGATCGGTGTCGGTGTTGGCGCCTTTTACTCCGTAGTTGTTGTCCCTCGGTCAAACAAACTCAGAGAGAAAGATAGCAGAACATTTAGACACACAGGGCGGAGGGAATGAGACTCAAAGGCAACAGAGGTTGATCAAATTTTGGTTTGACTTTGGAATTGTCGAAGTCTGTAAATATTTGCATTTAGTTGAGAGCTGAGAGTCTGTTGACTCTCCAATTGTGGAGATGTCCCTTTCTCGGGTTCGTTTCCAGTTCTAGTCCAGAGTCCAGTCGTTAGAGTTTTTCTTTCACTTGCACTTCCCATCCTATTTTTCGGTCTCACACTCAAAGTCAGTCAACTGGTGAGTTAGAGAGAGAGAGAGAGAGAGAGGGAGATAAATAGAGGAGCAGGTAAACGCGACCGAGATTGCATTACAGCTTGCTGATTCAGATGCACTCTCTCTACCTCCCTACACACCCCACACCTAAGCACACCACACACTCATTATTCTCCTCCTTTGTTGTACTCGCTGGGACTCGAGAAATGTTGTGAGAAGTACAAATACCGATTGATGGAATGTTTACAGTGCACACAATTGGATACGGAACACGGAACACACGATCAGGCACATGTTCAGAGCGAGATTTACTCCAGAGATTGTGCATGATGATTGTCTTAAGGATGATTGAATGCTGCTTAATATGGGGTTTAAAGGGGTGCTTTGCTTGGGAATACTCGTTGATTGCCATAGAATAAGAGAAATACATTTGGTTTGATTAAGTGATGCTTTCGAAGTGGTCCATAAGTATGTACATACATAAGTATGTATGTATATATGTACAAATGTA